GAGAGAGAAAGAGAGAGAGAAAGAGAGACAGAGAAAGAGAGAGAGAAAGAGAGACAGAGAAAGAGAAAGAGAGAGAAAGAGAGAGACAGATAGACAGACAGACGGATGGACGGACAGACAGACAGACAGACAGACAGACAGACAGACAGACAGACAGACAGACAAACAGACAGACAGAGAAAGAAAGAGATACAGAGAGAGGTGAGGGAGGGTGGGGGGCAAAGACTGAAGAAATTGAAGACAGGTAGAGTGAGAGGAATGATTAGAATGTGAGAGAGACTGGTAGACAGATAGAGAGACAGATAGAAAGAGACAACAGACAAAAAAGAAAAGGATAACAAGGCATGCAACCAGAGAAGGATGCAAAAATTGATCCCTACAAATAACGCCATCAGTCAGCGTGACATTTTGGCACATCTTAACCTCTAGACAAAGGCAAAGGGGGGTGGGGGAGAGGAGGCTGTTCCGCTCCACTTGTACAAAGCCATGACGGATTTTGAAGTTCTATTTCTAAATTCTCGACTCAGAGCCTCCCACATTTTTACCATCGCAAATAGACAATACCAGAGAGTTTACAGTAATACAGCGTCGCCACGAGTGTCACCTCTCTATTACTGTAAACCCTCTCTGACAATACTTTACACCAATCTCACGGTGATGGGCTGTGCACAATACATCCGCATAAAAAAGTATCTTAAAAAAAAGAAGAATTTAAACAAATTAAAACATTGTTTCAATACATCCACATAAAAGAAATCATCTTTGAATCCGATGTTGAGAATATCGCAATGGCAACAGACAAAAAATCGTATCTAAAAAAGGAACAACTTTTCAGGAGAAACAATTCACTATTTTAAAAATATTTTTTACCCTGCATCAAACTAAATATTATTAGTGCTGGGCGGTTAGGTTCCCGATTATTGAAAGCTAGGAATCGTAGGATTCGGCTCCGAACACAATTACTTACTTTCTAATGATGTGATTTCTTCCCGTAGTTACCTGGTTGGCTCCGAACATCTTCAGGATTTAGGATAGCCTTGATTTCGGAATACTACGAAGCATCAACTTCTATTTTTCAAAAAATAAATTCTTTTTAAAAAAAAGAAGATTTTAATGATAAAAGTTACTGGTAATCGTTGGTTCACGTAAAAAGGAGACGGAACAGTACTTCCGTAGTATTAATTGTGGGAATCGGTTCCGGAATCGACTCTTCGCCCAGCTCTAAATATTATGCTTTTAATTTTTTTCTCCGAAGCTGTTTCCAATAGTTTGCTTAGGCTTTTGAGGTGAGCAGAGTAAGCCTGATTCCTCGTTTGGACTTCTCTGTTGACATCCACCCCTTGGCGTTCATATGACCTTATGCAGTTGCGAGCGCCGTAAAACCTTACGTTAAAAAATATGAGTTTTTAACAAACAAAACAGGCTTCTTATTTGGACATTGGGTGCTGTTATGTCTGTTGGCATCATGGAGGCTGAAGTGTGGATTGTTTGAATCCTTAACGCTCGCTAATTATTTGGAATATTTGTGAAGTTATCTGGGTTGTTTGTGAAGTTGTTTGGGTTGTTTATTAAGCTTTTTTAAGGCTCTTGGTCTTTTGTTTGTTTGTTTGTTTGTTTGTTTGTTTGTTTGTTTGTTGCTTAGTCCTATCGAAGATGGACGCTAAAATCGGAAGCCCCATCTCATAAATCGCATTACAGCATTCGAAATAGGGTGGGCTGAGTGTTGTACTGTTACAGATCCCTGAGAAGTTTTAACAATTTGAGATTCGACGTTTTAGACCCTGAACCCCCCCC